TCGGGGTGCACCCAGGACAGGGGTGCTGGGCCCTCGGGTGATTCTGTGCTTCACCCCAGGAGCTGCCGGACTGTGGCCCTGGGGCTGCACCTTCAGGCCCGCCAGCAGCACTGGGCCCAGTCTCTGCACACCCTCAGCCGTCCCCGGGGCGACCCAGGCTCTCGCACAGCTCCGACTTGCGTTTCCCTGAGGACTTATGCCCCTGGAGTAAGGACTGACCGTTGCCAACACCCAGAGGTGTCTGTGCAAACTCTCTGCCCCTTTCAGAAACGCGATGCGGCCTTGCGTCTCACACGTGGGGCTCTCCGCGTGCCCCGCAAGCCTCTCATCCCACGAGACTGGCAGCACTTCCTTCCCTCTGTGAGTCAGGGCTTGTTTTCTGTGTCCTTGGAAACATGAAGTCGTAACCCTGATGAAGTCCAGCCCGTCGCTGCGTTTCATTGCTGCTATGTTCTTAGGTCCGACCTGAGAACTCCTAAGTCATTCCCTGACCCGGGGCCCTGTGCTCACCTCCGAGAGACACGGCGCTTCGGCCTGGTGTTTGGGCGCGTGGGCATTTTCCGTCCATTTGCGTATGTGATGAGAGACAGGGCCAGACCGTCTTTGTTGGGGGCAGAGAGAGAAACCTCCAGCAGGCGTGGGCACGCCAAGTCCTTTCTCCTCCTCTCCTCCTTCCCGCCAGGAGGTCGGGCACACGCATACACATGCCGGGGTGCTTGCCATGCTCCAGGGCCAGGATTCGAACTGCAGCGGTCCTGTGGGGTCTGGCGTTTTGTTGGCAGTGCGCTCTGCCACCCCACGGGGCTGGGCCCCAGTTTTCTCTTGTCTTGAAACTGTCCTTGTTCCTCTCTGGTCCTGAGTGGCTTTATTCTGCCCCCCTTGGCAGCTCTGCCTGGCCTCCACTCTGCTCAGCCTCCACCCTGCCCGGCTTCCACTCTGCCAGGCACTCCTGGCCCCACCTACCACCTGGCCTCCATGCCCACCGGCCCACCACCCTGTCTGGCCCGGCCCGTTTCTCCTCCCCTGCTTACGCACAGGCGGGCCTCGCCCCAGTCCCAGGAGGTGCAGCTCCTCCCTTGCTCTGCTTCCTAGCAGACGGTGACCCACAGAAGGCCTGGGCTTCCTCGCCCTGCGAGGGTTACTGGCTATCCCGGGAGAGACGGACAGGAGAGCCTTCCACATTCCCGTGGGGAAGTCCGAGCTGCTCCAAAGGCCGAGGTGCAGCCGGCCGAGGGCGAGCAGCGGATTCCAAGCCCGGAGCTGCCCCAGTGTCATCGGCGTCCGGGCTTCGTACTCTGAGCAAAGCTCGGGCAGTACGGCATCCGGGACGCCTCCCCGACACGTGGCCGGAGCGAACATCTCGAGAGATTTGACCTTCAAGGAGTTAGGATGGCTCTGAAGGGTTTGCTTTGCGGAAACAGCGGAATGAGCAGGTCTGGTGTGTTGTCCGGCACGTGTCACCGAGGGGGTGCGGGTGACGTCACAGCAGGTCTCCACCTGGCAGTGGAGCGCACGGTAGACAGCACACTCTGCAGGCCCAGCCACGGGGTGATGGGGCTTCGCGCTCCACGAGTAAGCTCAGGCAGCGTGAGATGGACCCCGGTCGGACCTGGACACCAGGCGCCACGGCAAGCGGAGGGTGGAGGGGCCCTGTCCTCAAGGCCGTGGGTAGAGCCCTGCGCCAAGATCGCTGTTTCTCTCCGAGCAGCCTCAGGCAATGGCCTCTCTGGCTTGGATGCTGGTCCTAACCCACTCCCTCTTAGGACCCAGGGGGTGCCTGTCCTCCCAGAGACAGAGAGCATCCTGGCATGTCTCCCTGCAGTCCCTCTCCTCCATCCTCCATCCTGCCAGGGCCTGGGGGCTCATGTGCACACATCTGCCGGGTCCCGTGAGCGTGCACCCTGACACTCCAACCCCGGCCTGTCCCCTGCCTCCCGTCTCAGCGGCCATCACTGAGCACATGCTGTGAGGACCACGGGGTGTCGTGCCCTCTGCTCACCGGGCCTCGGTCGGCTCAGTCTCCTGCCACACCTTCCATGTGTCCCAGCGACACTCACTGCCTAGCACAGGGGCTGAGTGAAGCCGGTGGAGCCCAAGGCAAGGAGCTGTCCCCTTGTCCCTGCAGGAGGCTGGAGAAAGCAAGCCCTTCCCTCTGTTTGGTCCCAGACGGTCCCCACCTCCCCCTCTCCTGCCTGACCCCGGGACCTGCCGTAGAGGGAGCAGGGACACGCTGTCTGGGTCTTGGAGGCTGCTGTGGCTCTGGGGAGGGAACAGGAAGTGGCCGTGGGTTGAGAGTGTTCTCTCACCACTCTGGGGCAGCCAGGGTGCTGACGGAGAGCGGCCATTGGAAGTCCCGCCCGCAGGGAAGACTGTACAGCCTGTGGGTTTCCACCAACTCCCTGCCCTGTCCCCGGGGAGGGGAGCGAGGCTGAGGCGTCTGAGACCGGCCAGCTTCGTCTCTCACGCAGGGGAGGAGAAAGTGACCAGAGGGTGTGAGGCGGAGCAGGAGGACGAGGAGGGTGTGCCGTCCAGCCCCGGCCTCCCAGGGCCGGCTGCAGTGTGCAGGGTTGGAGGGTGCACTTGCGGGCTAGGGGCAGGAGGTCGTGCCCAGTCATGGCCACTTCCCAGCACATGCCAGCCATGCCTCCACCCGCCCTCAGCTTCTGTGTGAGGCACCATCCCGAGTCCTGCTGCAGGGGTTGTACCGGTGTCCCAGGGCTCTGTCCCTCCAGTACGAGAGGAGGCATGTCCACAGGGCGGTGTGGACAGTGACTTGCAGGGTCGTCAGCCAGGAGGGCGGACACGCTTATCTCTGCCATTCCTCACTGTCCCCCTGGGATTCTGAGGGTAGCAGGTGGGAGAGGGGCAGGTGTGAAGTACCCCGCCCTGCCACATCCCCAGGTCCCCTTGAAGGATGGGTCACAGAGAAAGAAATGAGTGTGTGAGGATGGCCACGTGCCACACCAGCCTCGGTGCCCCAGGAGGGCCAAGTCCCAGGGGCCTGGGGGAGACTCCGAAGAGTTCACAGGAATGTCTAGGAATCTCCTCGCCTTTAATTAATGCGATTGTGGCGAGTCCAGGAGGCGCAGGCAGGCATTGCCCTGTGAGGCTGGCAGCTGGCGGTCTCCCGGCTGTGCCGTGGGCTGGCAGCCTGCACTGTGCGGCCCCCTCCACCTCCTTCCCATTCAGAGGGCGCTGACGTGGCTGCGGCGC